AATGATTTTCCAAGGATTTTCCAATTCCCAGACCTGACTGATGCTCCCAAATTGATTTTCCAAGGATTTTTGAATTCCTAGAACTGACTGATGATCCCAGGATGATTTTCCAAGGATTTTTGAATTCCCAGACCTGACTGATGATCCCAGGATGATTTTCCAAGGATTTTCCAATTCCCAGACCTGACTGAAAATCCAAAAATGATTTTCCAAGGATTTTCCAATTCCCAGACCTGACTGATGATCCCAAATTGATTTTCCATTTTTTTTCCAATTCCCAGACCTGACTGAAAATCCAAAGATGATTTTCCAATTTTTTTCCAATTCCCAGACCTGACTGATGATCCCAAGATGATTTTCCAATTTTTTTCCAATTCCCAGACCTGACTGAAAATCCAAAAATGATTTCCCAAATATTTTCCAATTCCCAGACCTGACTGAAAATCCAAAGATGATTTTCCAAGGATTTTTCCAATTCCCAAAATTTTTGGACATTTTGGGAGTTTTTTGATAATTTGGGGATTTTTTTTGGACAATTTTGGGATTTTTTTTTGGTCAAAATTGGGATTTTTTTGACAATTTGGGATTTTTTTTGACATTTTGAGATTTTTTTGGACAATTTGTGATTTTTTTGGACGTTAGGGGATTTTTTTTCAACAATTTGGGATTTTTTTTTGACATTTTGAGATTTTTTGGACAATTTGGGACTTTTTTGACAATTTGGGGATTTTTTGGGTCAAATTTGAGATTTTTTTTTACATTAGGGGATTTTTTGGACACTTTGGGGTTTTTTTGACAATTTGGGATTTTTTTTACATTTTGAGATTTTCTGGACAATTTGGGACTTTTTTGACAATTTTGGGACTTTTTTTTGGTCAAATTCGGGAAATGTTTTTACATTAGGGGACTTTTTGGACAATTTTGGGACATTTTGGACAATTTGGGATTTTTTGGATATTAGGGGACTTTTTTAACAATTTGGGATTTTTTTGACCATTTTGGGCTTTTTCTGGACAATTTTGGGAAAAGTTTTTGGACAATTTTGGGATTTTTCTGGACAATTTTGGGTTTTTTTGGACAATTTGGGATTTTTTTTTGGACAGTTTGTAATTTTTTGGGACAATTTGCCACTTTTTGGACAATTTTGAGGTTTTTTTTACAGTTTTGGGATTTTTTTTTTGGACAAATCCACACCTGTGGGGGTTTTTTTTTTGTTTTTTTGGTTTTTTTTTTTTGGCTTTTCATGCAGAAATAGAGAATTTCTGCTGAGGGCTGGAGGTTCAAAGGTAATTAGGAGACACATTTTAATTAATGATGTCCTGGCTCATAAGGAAGCACGGCAAATAAAATATTAGCTGGAGGATTAATTACGGGCTAAACTAATTAATTAAAGGTCCCCAATCAATGCCAGCACGAACACCTTGGTGTGAAAACAAATCAACCCTGCAGCAAAGATTTCCTGAGTGCTTTTAATTCAAACTTCACCCCAGAGCTGCCTTAACTCATCCCTGGTTAGAAAAACCCAAAGAGAGCAGAATCCCTGGAAAAATCCTGGAAAAATCCCCAAAAATCCCAGAAAAATGCCAGGAAAATGCCAGGAAAATGCCAGGAAAATGCCAGGAAAATGCCAGGAAAATCCCAGAAAAATCCCCCAAAAATCCCAGAAAAATGCCAGAAAAATGCCAGGAAAATCCCCAAAAAATCCCAGAAAAATGCCAGAAAATTCCCAAAAAAATCCCAGAAAAATCCCAGAAAAATCCCCAAAAAATCCAAGAAAAATCCCAGAAAAATCCCAAAAAAATCCCCAAAAAATCCCAAAAAAATCCCAGAAAAATCCCCCAAAAATCCCAGGAAAACAACAACAATTCTCACAGATCCCTTGTGTGCAACCCCCAGAGCACAATCCCTCTCCCCTCTGCACTTCAAGGTTTTTTTTTTTCTGCTTTTCTGGCAAAAAAGAGGAGGAAAAAAAAAAAATCCAGCAACTCAGGAATTGAGGGATGGAGGGACACAAGAAGTTCCCTGTTAAAAAAGGAGCAGAAAAAGAAAAGTGAGAGCAGAGAGCAAAGCTCTGAGAGCACAGCAAAGGAAAAACCTGAAAGGAAAATTTGGCATTAAATGGTTGAAAAAGGAGCCTGGAACAGGGAGCAAACCCCATTTTTTTTTTTTAAATTTATTTTTTTTAGTGTTTTCCTCCATGCCCAGGCAATTTTTGCAGCACTTTTATAAATAAACAAGCTTCCATTAAAAAAAAAAAAATTAAAAAATTACCCCAAAGCCACTTTGGGTGATTTCTTCAGGGCTAAAATAACTCAGCCTGTGCTGGAGGCTGGAACCTGAGTCCAGCCCTTCCCTCCAACACATTTATTGATTGGTGATCAATAAAACACCAATAAAACACCAATAAATCACCAATAAAACACCAATAAAACACCAATAAAACACCAATAAAATGCTCCACCAGGCCAGGAGCAGCCCCAGCCCTTTTCCCCAGTGGCTCTCAGAAATCTGCAGAGCAGAAGCTTTCCTGTGCATTTTATTGTAAAATATCCAATCATTTTATTATAAAATATCCAATCATTTTATTGCAAAATGTCCAATCATTTTATTGCAAAATGTCCAGTCATATTATTGCAAAATAGCCAATGAACTTTATTATAAAATATCCAAACATTTTATTGCAAAATAGCCAATGCATTTCATTGTAAAATATCCAATGCATGGTATTGTAAAATAGCCAATCATTTTATTATAAAATATCCCATGCATTTTATTATAAAATATCCAATCATTTTATTGCAAAATAGCCAATGCATTTTATTATTAAATATCCAATGCATGTCATTATAAAATATCCAATGCATTTCATTGTAAAATGTCCAATGCATTTTATTGTAATATATCCAATGCATTTTATTATAAAATATCCAATCATTTTATTATAAAATATCCAATCATTTTATTATAAAATATCCAATGCATTTTATGGCAAAATAACCATGCTTATTTGATGCTCGTGATCAGAGCCCAGATGTCACAAATGAAACGACCCCAGACTGGAATGGGGAGGAGCAGGCAGTGCTGAGCACGTTTGGAAGCTGCTGCAGAGTGGACAGAGCAGCTGAAAAATCCTCCACCAAAAACTTTGTTTTCCTGCCAAAATTTTGGATTTTTTTTTTTTTTTTTCACTGAGAGGCCACTGAGAGCAGGAAGGAAAGAGCTGAGTCCATGCCAGGGGTTTGTGGAAGACAAAAGAAAAGGAAATTTTTTTCCTTACCCACAGCAGGGAATGGCACAAATCTCTGGATGAGGAGGCGAGTGGCCGGGCTGAACTTGTTGGCTCTCTGGATCAGAACGTTAAGGCCGACCTTGGCAGGAAGAAAAGCCAAGCAGAGTTAATTAACAGAGTTAATTAACAGAGTTAATTAACAGAGTTAATGGGCAGGGCACGACAGGGGGCACAGGTCGGGGTCTGTCCCCAGGAATGAGGTGTCTGAGATCCCAACCTCCCCCCAGGGCTGGGCTTAACTCTTCAGTCAACACAGGGTTAAATCCAATTGTTGAGCTTAAAACAAGGGTGGAACCCAACCTTTGGGATTAAATGAAGAGGGGGCCTTGTATGAGGTGTTTTGGGTTTGTATGAGGTGTTGAACTCAACTCTGGGTTTAAATGAAGAGTTGAACTCAACTCTTGGGTTTAAATGAAGAGTTGAACCCAGTTTGGGTTTGTATGAAGTGTTGAACCCAGTTCTTGGGTTTAAATAAAGAGTTGAACCCAAGTTGGGTTTAAATGAAGAGTTAAACCCAGCTCTTGTGTTTATATGAAAAGCTGAACCCAACGATTGAATTTAAATTAAGGATTGAACCCAACCTTTGGGTTTAAATGAAGAGGGGGGTTTGTTTGAGGTGTTGGGGTTTGTTTGAGGTGTTGGGGTTTGTGTGAGGTGCTGAACCCAAGTTGGGTTTAAAATTGAAGAGTTGAACCCAGCTGTAGGGTTTATATGAAGTGTTGAACTCAACTCTTGGTTCTAAATGAAGAGTTGTACCCAATTCAGGTTTAAATGAAGGATTGAACCCAATTCTTGGGTTTAAATGAAGAGTTGAACCCAGTTCTTGGGTTTAAATGAACAACTGAACCCAACCTTTGGGCTTAAAAGAAGGCTTGAATCCAAATGTAGGGTTTATATGAAAGACTGAACCCAACATTTGGGCTTAAACCCAACTCTTGGGTTTAAATGAAGAGTTGAACCCAACAGTTGGGTTTATCCAAAGTGCTGAACCCAACCACTGGGTTTAAATGAAGGGTTAAACCTTCCACTGGATTTAAATTAAATTTAAATTAAGGATTGAACCCAACCATTGGGTCTGGCTTAAGGATCAAACCCAACTGTTGGGTTTACACAAAATGTTGATTGAACCCATTCAAGGATTTAACCCAATTTAGGATTGAACCCAGCTGTTGGGTTTATATGGAGGGTTGGACCCAGCTGTTGGGTTTAAACCCTTCCCATCAAAGGATAAACCAGAATTCACTCCAAAACCATCCAGTCCCTCTGGAAACGCCCTGGGCTGGATTTTTACCCAGTTCACCATCATTTTCCCCATCCACCACAAAATCCTTGGGACTGGCAGTCCTCACCTAGCTGGGAAAAACCCAAATTTCAGTGGTGGTGGTGGTGGTGGTGGCCCAGCAGGATGAATTCCTTCTCCAAGGGTTGGATGAGGCAACAGAAATAAAGCCCGTGGTTAGAATGAACTTTACAGCCCAAATGTTGGCACTGGGTGGGGTTGTGTTGTTTGCCCTCAGCAAATGCAGTTCTAGAGCTTAGTCTGGACAGCAGTGAGGGCTTCTCTTGAACTTTTACCCCTTCAGAAATGACTGAATTGAAATTTTTTTGAATGTTTTTCAGCTGTTGGGATGAGTCTTTTCAAAGTCTGAACTCCTCCAGAAATTGTAACACAGTCTAAAATGTGTGGCTTTATGAGAAGCCAGTTTTAAGCCTGGCTTTGCTGGTCTGCCCCATGGATTTGGGTATTTAGTCTGGATGTGGTTAATCCTTGCCCATGACAAATTTTGTTGGGTTTGCAGCCCCTGCTTGGAGGTTTGAGGGAGGATTTGACAATGAGGTGGAAGAGCAGCAGCTTTTGAAAGAGAAAAGCTGAGTGTGGGAGAGGCAGCACTGTGAGGGCAGGGAAATAAAAGCAGATTTAATGTGATGAACTCAGTCCCCACTTGCAGCAAGCTCCCTGCTGGGAATACGAAATTAAATTGTTGCTGGAGATTAAATCCCATCTCCCAAATCCTCAGCACGAGGACTGGGTATAGGAAACTAATGAGGGTTTGTTTGGCACAGTTTGGAAATTGCTGTGGCTGATCTGAGAGCTCCTTCCCACAGGCCACGAGGGCAAACAGGGCAGGAGCTGCTCAACCTCAGGCCACCAGAGCAAAAAGGTCATCAAGGGGATGCTAATGAGTTTAATTACTCGGGATTGGCCAGGGGATGCTGTTGAGGGGAACTGATCATTAAAAACCAAGCCCAGTTTTGGTTTTTTTTTTGTTTGGTGATTATCACTCGGTCACAGAGCGGGATCTGCAGCACTGGGGATGGAAACAGGGAACAGAATCAGGGGGGATTCACCCCCTCACCAAAGCTGGCACAGCCACAGCATCTGGAAAAATCCTCAGAGGGAATGGAAATGGCTGGAAAAGGCCTGTGAGATGGAGGCCAAACATTGCCAGCACTGCCCCGGGTCCCCAAGGGCCACAATCCCTGCAGGGACAGCGACTCCAGCCCTGCTGGACCTTTTGGTGAAGGAATTCTCCAGCCTGGAACTTCCCTGGCACATCCTGAAGCTGCTCCCTCCCATCCCACGGCTCCTTTTGCAGCTCAGCTTCTCTGGGGCTGACACAATTCCAGGGTGGAATGGCAGGGTGGAATGGCAGGGTGGGATTGCAGGGTGGGATTGCAGAGTGGGAAGGGACCTGACAGAACATCCATGGCAGGGACATTTCCAGTGTCCCAGGGTGCTCCAGCCTGGCCTGGGACACTGCAGGGATCCGGGGGAGTTGTCCAGGGTGCACATTCCTGCACTGGGACAAGATCAAATCCAACTTTTCCAAGTGCCTGGTGTGCTGAGGTTTCCTCCTTGATGTGGGTGAGGGAGGCAGGGGGAGCTGGACACAGGGGACACGTGGGTGACACAGGGACACGTGGGTGACACAGGGACACCAGAGTGGACACAGGGACACGTGGGTGACACAGGGACACATGACACCAACACTTGCTGACATCCCACAACACAAATCCGGGATCAAACCCTCAGTGGGACAGAAACCTCCCCCAGGGCTCCCCTGTGCCTCTGGCAGCACTCTGCCCTTCCTCCCTCCCTTCCCTCCTCCTCCTCCTCCTCCTCCTCTGCCATTCCAATCCCTGCCATTCCAATTCCTGCCATTCCAATCCCTGCCATTTCTTTAGCTCCCAGTTTTGTTTCAGCACCAACAACATTCCCTGAGCAGAGCAACCTTTGTGACATCACCACACTTTAAAGCAGAATCATCAGACGCTGTCAGGGACCAACATTTCTGATCCCTTTTCTTCTCCTCCTTGTCTCCAAAACTTCTGACCTCACGTTTACCGAGACACCAATTCTAAAACCGTGAGAATTTTAAAAATTCCCTGCTTTTTACCACCTTTTAATGAAGATTTTTGAAGCCTGAGAGAAGGTTTTGAAAGCCTGACGCTGGCAATGACCAAGCCCACAGCTCTTTAACCCAGTCTAGAGCAGTAAATCCATCCGAGGAGTTATTTCACTTTATACTGAGAGGGAATTTTTATAAAAGAAAGGGATCTCAGGAATCCAGAGAGCATTATCTGGTAGATGGCACCACCCAAACGTTGCTGAGCCACTCTCCAGATTTCATGGACTGTGTTGGAGGAATCTCCAGTGATTTAAAGGATTCAGTCCCTGAATCTGCAGCTGGAGCTGGGACCTGGAAAATCAACTTGGAAAGAGGGACTGGCTCCAAGGGAGGTTATCCCTCATCCCCCAGCCACCAGATTGGAGTAGAACTAATTGGATCTGGTGAGTCCCATCCAGCCAAGCTGGAGAAAAGAGCATTAGGAGAAGGGAGGAAAAAAAACTCATTCATTAGGGCTGGGAGGTGAAGATGGAGGCAGAGAGATGGAAAACTGGGCTCTTTCCCAACTGGAGCATTCCCGAGCCAAGGAGAACAGAATGGAGGAGGCCAAAGGAAGGGAAAGCAATGAGGATCCGAGTGGGGAGGGAAGTTAGAGAGGAGCAGGAGTGAGGGAAGGAGGAAACATCACTCCCAAGACAATTCCAACAATTCCAGCAGGGATGGAACACAGCAGCCCCACAATCGGATGCTTCAGTGGTGTAGCCTGGAGTGAGACTGGAGAAAAGTGGGAATTGTGCTGAGAACAAGACAAAATTCATTTGGGAGATGGTGGGGAAAGGAGGACGAGGGGCCATGCCCAGGACAAGAGGGTTTTGTCTCATACCAAGATTTCCACGCAGCCGGATCCTGCCCAGAGGCAGGAGCCCACCCCTGGGGATGGGCTGGGGCAGGGGGGAAGGAAGGGATGAGGAAAAAACTGCTGGAAATGGAGACAGGCCAGTGAAACAGGAGAGAAAATGCTGCAGGGAGGCACGGGGAGTTTGGGAGGGGACAGGGACAGAATCCCAGAGCAGGAACCTGAAGGATCAGCTCCTTCCAGCCCCTGCCAGGGCAGGGGACACCTCCCACCATCCCCGGCTGCTCCAGCCCCTCCAGCCTGGCCTGGGACACTGCAGGGCTGCGCTGGGCAGGACCCAGCAGGTGCCAGGTGCTCC